TCATCCCTGGGACACAAGGCGGGTTCAACATTCGCAAGACAATTAATATAATTAAATACATCAACAGACATCAGAACAAAAATATTACTAACAGAATTAATGCCCTTTAATATGTTTTGCATGCGATTAATAATCAACCTTTTCCTGGCTTGCCGTATTTATCAACAAACCATTCTTTGCATGGAATTTTAGTTGTCTTTGATTATTTGTAATACGCTAATAGTGTTATTAAATCATTGTTTATATGTTGGGCGACGGTTTAGAAAGATTATAAAATGTCAGTGTCAGCTCTAGAGATTTCCTGAGATACAAGTGGTACAAATTGTTCAAGAGTTAAGCAATAATTGTGCCTAGGCAATGAATGAATTTAAAGACTTTATGATGAAGGGTGCAGTTGAGAAAGATGATCTTATCAGCTGTATGTTGTAACTGGAAAGGCAAATGCTTCTAGAAGCACATTTCAGCTCAGAAATGAAAACTTCAAAATAGATAACACTACTCTGTAATCAACTGAGAAAATTTGAGGTATACCTAACTGGCTTGCCATTGAGACAGCATGTATTAGAAACAGAGTTAAGGAAAGGTGATTTGTATGTGATAATAGCACACCTAAAATTATAAATCAAAATTTTACCTGACATGCTTGAATCATTACTATGCAAGCTAAGGATAGATGTTATTAGCAATAATTATAAGCCAATATTCTAGTGGTGATGGTTCCAAGAGTCTTTTTTTGTGGTTTTCAAATTCCATGACTATTAGTATAAACTGTTTGACGTTGCGGCAAGAGATACATATAATCATGTGGGAAGGGCATCTTATGTTTTTAATTGGAGGCATGTTGAAATCATTGGAGAACATTTCCTTTTTAGACTTTCAGAGCACTAAAGCTGAAAAAGAAAAGCAGACACCCTTTTCCCAAAATACTAATTGAAGACATACTAAACATAAATAAATGAATGAATAAATAATATTTTCTAAGAGAGGCAAAAAAGAGAAACCCCCCAAACAATCTGTATACTTGTTTTAAAAAACCCCCATTTTCTGTGGGTTTGGCAACCATTGGCTTGCTTTTGTGGCCAACCGTAATCCTGGACGGGCTCAGCTCCAAGATCGTTTTTTTCTTTTCCAAGCTACCGCACTTGTGTTTCTAAGTCTTGATTTTTTTGCAAATAGGATAAGTACTCTAAGGGAGGTATATTTTCTTCTGGAAGAAATTAGTAGACACACAGTACCCTGCAGCTTAAAATCTGTTCTGCAGCAGCATGGCAAAGCTTCAAGCTGCTAGATCAAAGTTTAAAATGTCATGTTCTCTACTGGGGTTGCAGGCTCTCACTTCTCTGAGATGCAGGTCCATTGGTCATATAAAAAGATAATATAAATCTATCAGTAAATCATACAAAGTAATGACTGCAATGTCAGTAACCATTTTGGTATTTGTGAGGATCTGGGGACCATGACAGATTTGGACAGTCAGCTGAGGGTCGAAAAACTGAAGGCACTTTAGTGGTCACCTCACCAATCAACTGGCTAATGAATGCATCCTGGTTTACAAAAGGAGCCAAGCAAGAAAGAATGAGTGAATCAATATCTAGTAGGAAGATAACGTGAGGCACTTTTCATCTCAGTTACACCTGAGTCTCCTGAAGCCTAAATAGTCACCAAGAAAACTCATATTCCAAGCGATTTCTTAACAAACCATGCATAAGTGTGGACTTACAAAAGCATGGATAAAACCCAGTTTTGCAAACCCTTATCTCACCAGAAGAGTTGTGGGACAAAGAAGAAAGAAGAGATACAACTTCTGTGTGAATTTTACTAATGCCTTGTGGTCTTCTTTACTGTTGTGATGTTGCTTCATTCTTGCTTTAAGCCAAGTGAAAGGAGTCTTCAAGAGACCAAAGTGGAGAGTTGAACACATGTCTGTTGGGGTTTGTGAAGCATTAGAACTGGTATGATATACTGAGGCTGTTGATGATCTTTAAGGTGGCAGACAACATGGGGCAGGGCAGGGAAAGGGAGAGGGAAAGGAAGAAGCAGAGAGAAAGAAGGAGAGAGGGAGAGAGAGAGGGAAGGGGAGATGGAGAGGGAAAGAGAGAGAGGGAGGGAAGGGAAGAGGGAGAGGGAGCGAGAAAGAAGGAGGGGGAGAAACAGAGGGAGGAGGAGAGGGAGAGGGAGGGAGAAATGGAGAGAGAGGGAGGGGGAGAGGGA